ATCTGGAAGAGAGCTACCTGGTCAACCAAACGGAAGAGATCCATATTCATGCCCAATCCAAAGAAAGGTGATCCAACAGAATGCAGAAATTATCGAACAATATCATTAACATCACATGCAAGGAAAATTATGCTGAAGATCATTCAAAAATGATTGCAGCAGTGTATCAACAGGGAATGGCCAGAAATTCAAGCTGAATTCAGAAGAGGATGTGGAATGAGGGATATCACTGCTGATGTCAGAGAGATCTTGGCTAAAAGCAGAGAATACCAGAAAGAAGTTTACCTGTGTTTTATTGACTATGTATTGACTGTGTGGATCATAACAAATTATGGATAACATTGCAAAGAATGAGAATTCCAAACACTTAATTGTGCCCATGTATACAGACCAAGAGGCAGTTGTCTGAACAGAACAAGGGGATCTTGCATAGTTTAAAATCAGGAAAGGTGTGCGTCAGGGTTGCATCATTTTACCATATTTTTCAATCTGTATGCTGAGCAAATAATCCAAGAAGCTCGGATTACGTGAAGAACGCTGCATCAGGATTAGAGGAAGATTCATTAACAACCTGCAATATGCAGATGACACAACCTTGCTTGCCGAAAGAGGACTTGAAGCATATGCATGTGAAAGCTGGACAAAGAATAAGGAAGAGTGAAGAAGAATTGATGCCTTTGAATTATGGACTGCCAGAAGAACAAACAGATCTGTCTTGGAAGAAGTACAGACAGAATGCTCCTTAGAAGTGAGGATATCGAGACTTTGTCTCATGTACTTTAGACATGTTATCAAGAGGAACCAGTCCCTGGAGAAGGACATCATGCTTGGTAAAGTAGAGGGTCATCGAAAAAGAAGAAGACCCTCAATGAGATGAACTGACATAGTGGCTGCAAAAACGGGCTCAAGCATAACAATGATCATGAGGATGGCACAGGACTGGGCAATGTTTCGTTGTTGTATACAGGGTCGCTGTGAGTCAGAACCAACTTGATGGCACCTAACAACAACAACAACAATTATAACCTTATGGGACCACGGATGTACATGCAGTCGGACGTTGCCCGGAGGTTATGTGGTGCATGACATATACGTTAAGTGCCACCGAAAGAACAAAGCAGAGTGAGGGCCAGGAACCAGATGGGGAAAGCATGGTCCAGCAACATGGAAGCTTTTCTACAGTGGTTACTGGTTCAAATACTCTCTTCCCTCACTCCTCACTGCTGTACTAGTACAGGCAGTCCCTAGGTTATGAAGGAGATCTTGGGTCCTAAGTGTGTCTTAAGGAATTTGTACATAAGTTGTAACAGGTGCATACAGTCTTATTTAGCCTTACTTTAGTGCAAGAAAAGGCTGGAAGGCTTTTCAGTGATTTAAAAGCTACAAATGCTGCAAGTGAAGGTGACTGTAATGAAGAATTTGTTGTGAGTAGCAGTCGGTTCAATCATTTCAAAGTGAGGGCAAATTTACATAACATTAAAGGGCAAGTATGAGTTGTCCATAACCCAGGGATTTACTGCATCACAAGAGGAGCTGTAAAAAAAACAAAAATTGAAAGATTGCATTGAGCAGGGTGATAAGGGAGACAGGGTGGGAGGTAGCAATGGGGATCCCCAAGGGAGATGGTAGGGACTGAGAAAAAAGGACATTCACTCCCTCCACTAGACTGTGAATTCTTTAAGAATAGGTATTACCTCCTACCCAACTTTGAACCCGTGGTGCCTGGAAAGGAAATTCAGCATATAGTAGGTGTTGTTCGATAAATGTGTTGAATGAGTAAGTACATATAACTGTAGTGGATGCTATACATCATCCAGATTTCCATTTATAATTGAAGGACTTATTCTCCTATCTGCTGGAAGTACTGCTGGCAGGCAGCCCTCAGCTATCAGCCTTCTTTGGGAATTGCCTGGCTGAAGAGAGCTATCTGGCCCAAGGTTTCACGTCTTCCTGATGTAGCTCGCACCTAATGATTGGGGATATAAAGGTCTAGCCCTCCTCACGCCAACTTGGGACAACTCTGAGGGACTATCCTAGCTTCTGGGCTCCCCTTTGGGGTCAATGAGACTGCATTACAGGCCAACGTCTCCCATGGGCCAATGGGACTTCCTTCCCTTACACAACATGATCCCAAGAGGTCTCCCTATTAATCTTTCTGTGCTCTAATTTCCATCCCAGAGTCTGGATTTAGCTGAAGTCAACCTGAGACAATAGTCCAAAAGAAAACCTAGGTCTGAGCCAGATTGAAACCACCCAGGGAAAGTATCTGACTGCATATTAAAGGTCAGTAAATATAAAAGGCTTTACAAAGGTGGAATGAAATTTTTTATCCCTAGCAATTTGCTTCTACTTCAGCTACTTTAAGTAATCAAGAGATACAGAGTACTGTGAGAGTCCCTAGTGGTGCAAACAGTTAATGTGTTTGGTTGCTAACAAAAAGGTAGGAGGTTCGAGTCTACCCAGAGACACCTCAAAAGAAAGGCCTGGTGATCTACTTCTAAAAAATCAGCCATTGAAAACTCTGTGGAGCAAGTTCTACTCTAATACACAGAGTCACTGTCAGAATAGACATGATGGCAACTGCTGGGTTAGAGTACTCTGAGAACTGCCTCAAAAAGTTCATCTGTTTCACCATCATGTAAGCAATTAACAGCAAACTGTACCAAATTCAATTCTTGTCTAACTTAGAAAGCAAAGAAATTAAACATTAATGAATTTAGTGTAAACATGATATAAAGCATTCCAAAGTACCGAGCTGTTCTTCCTGGTGGTTTGAATCAACATCTGGCCTGCTACCAAAACCAAATCCACTGCCGTTGAGTCAATTCCGACTCACAGCAACCCTATAGGATGGAGTAGAACTACCCTCATAAGGAGCAGCTGGTGGATTTGAACTGTCGACCTTTTGGTTAGTAGCCAAATGCTCAACCACTGCACCTGATAAGGAATTGTTTTTCCACTAGAAGTTACTCAAATATTAAATGCAGTAGTTTTAACAGTTAGAACTGCTTTTATGCTTACAAAAAGTTATTGTTAAGATAAGAAGAGTTAAAAACTAACAAAACTGTTCAATGTACAACTGTGAAGAAAATACACAAACGAATCCCAAAACTATTCACATTATCTGGATACAGCTCCCTTTGTACTCAAGATACGTCAGGATCAAAAGATACCTTAACCTTGACACAACAGTTGATAAAGTTTAACCTTAAAGTGAAGCTCAGGAAATATTTCAAGTATATAAGTACTCATTTTTAAAGTTTTTTTTTTTTTTAAAGAGTTGCCAATTTGCTACATAGCCTGGTTAGCACTAAACTGCTTTCTAATACCACCTAATAATTTGTGCGCATTACTAAAATCTGGGGATTCTGTCAAAGTGTAGAGACACTAGCATTCAGTTTTACAATAGAAGGGAAATGAGTGGACTAGATATGGAAAAAGCTCAAGTCTATACTTCCTGGAAAGTGGCTCAAAAGGCATTTAGCAGGATAAGTGATACTTAACTAATTCTATCAGTATATATTCCAGAAAACTTACCTGGATTTGAATAACCTGCTATGTGGAAATTTAAAAAGCATACTGAGTGACACTGAATATCAGCATGCTCTTTGCCATATTACTTCACCATTATGCTCTCTTCTTTCAAAATTTAAAAGTTAACTAAGTAATACTACTTGCCTGCAGAAACATGTCACAAAAGGATATTTAATAATAATTTAAAAAAAAAAAGAAAATGGCAGGGTGCTGAGAGGACCTGGTGACAATGCAAATGTAGATAAAGCATTTTAAACAAAATTAGTATTACTGAGTTACTATAATTGGATTCCACCCAAATGTCTGATTAATTTACTTAATCCCTACCTTTTCTTAAGAGCAACCACTCAGAACACATCTTTATTTCTTTCACTGCTTTTATATCATTGTGCTTTCTTCTGAATTATCTCCTGTTCATATTTCATTGTTTCCTTTTCTAAGGAAATACATTAAAAATCAGAATTATTAGCAGCTTTGTATATAACACTGTAATCTTGAATTTCTTGCCAAAATAAAATTAAGTTAGCTTATGAATAATTGTATTTGGTGGTGTTTTTAATTTTTTTTTTAATTGTACTTTAGGGGAAAGTTTACAGAACAAATATTTTCTCATTAAACAGTCGGTACACATTGTTTTATGATATTGGTTAACAACCCCATGACATTTCAACAAGCTCCCTTCTCGGCCTTGGAGAACTTTTTTTTTTTTGGTGAAAATATACATAGCCAAAGATATACCATTTCAAAAATTTCTACATGTACAATTCAGTGACATCGATTACATTCTTCCAGTTGTGCTATTCTCACTTTAGATGAAGGTTTACAGAACAAAGTAGTTTCTCATTAAACAGTTAGTACACATACTGCCCTATGACAATGGTTAAGAACCCCACTGCATGTCAAAAACTGTCCTTACTCAACCTTGGGTTCCCTATCACCAGCTTTCCTTTCCCTTTCTGCCTTCTAGTCCTTGTCCCTGGACTGCTGTGCCTCATCAGTCCTGTTTTGTTTTATGGGGCTGTCCAATCCCGGGCTGAACGGTGAACCTTGGGAGTGACTTCACCAGTGAATTAAAAGGGTGTCTGGGGGCCATACTCTCGGGGTTTCTCCAGTCTCTGTCAGGCCAGTAAATCTGGTCTTTGTGTGTGTGTGTTAGAATTTTGTTCTACATCCTTCTCCAGCTCTGTCCAGAACCCTCTGTTGTGATCCCAGTCAGAGCAGTCAGTGGTGGTAGCCAGGCAACATCTAGCTGTACTGGACTCAGTCTGGTGGAGGCCTTGGTAGCCGTGGTCCATTAGTCCCTTGGACTAGTCTTATTTTGTGGGTTGTTTTAAAAGATGGTTAGTTTGCAATTATTTGGAGGACCAGCTTCCTGATGGCAGATCCTTCCTCAACTACAGAGAAAGAGAGTTATCTCAAAAAATTTATGCTGTGTGAAGTGGTGTGCTAGGCCTTTGTCATCTTACCATGAACACTTCCTAATGTAATATCCCCAGCAGCAGAAGACAGAAATGACGATTCTGTGTAAAGATACTTGGCTTTCAGGAAACCATCTTCAGTAGAAATAGTAACAGAACTTCCCTGCAGTTTATCTATGGTCACAGTCTAGTAAGAGAAAGACTCATGTCAGTTCATTGTAAAATAAAGACCAATAAAAAGTAAAATGATACTGACTTAATTAGCTGGCAACTACATAAAAAGTTACTACCAAGTACATTTTAATGACTCTGATACCCAAGCTCTAATTACAAGATCAAGAGGAACAGTGTACTTCTATGGAACGTGGAATAGACTCAATATTTCCCTACATTTATTTAGGTCTTCTTTAATTTCTCTTAATAATGTTTATATTTTCTAGGTAGTGTTCTTCATCTTTTGTTAGATTTATTCTTATTTGATATTTTTTAAATGGGGCTCAGTGGTTAGGAGCTAGGCTGCTAACCAAAAGGTCAGCAGTTTGAATCCACCAGCCATTCCTTGGAAATCCTATAGGGCAGTTCTATTGTGTCCTATAGGGTCACCATAAGTTAGAATCAACTCTATGGCAATGGATTTCATTTTGGTTTTTTGAATGGCAGTAATGCTACCAAATAGTGCCACCTTGTGGAACATACTGAAGAAAGTTTATTTTGAAACATTCTCCAATTTGCCTAAATGCAAAGTAAACAGGTCTTGGAAAAATACTCAAGTAAGCCTAATATATAAGAAAAATTTCATCTAGATATTGATGCTATCACTTAATGAGCTATTTTAATCCATGATCATAAAATAAAAATCTCTTCAGAACTAGAATTAAATATTAAGTTTTTCGGTTTGCATTGATTCGAGATAAGGAACTAAATAACTGTCAAAGTATTAAGTCACAAACTGTAATTTAAACTGTACAATATTTAATCACCACAAATTCAAATTTGAATTCACTAATGAAATAATACGCATTAAAAAGGGAATGTTTATAGTACCCACCCATTGCATTAGCCAACTTAAAGCAAAATATAATCACTAAAAAAAGGAAGTTTCAATCTTACACTTTTTTCTGATGCATGAATATCTACATTTCCATAAACTGTTCCCAGACAAATCACCTTTCCTCCTTTTGTTTGAACATGTAATTTTTGACTCTGAAAGACAAATACAAAAATACATATAGAGAAGAAAAGAAAGTTTGACTCATATCAATAAAAAATATTCAACATTTTACACATTTCTTTTTTATTTGCAAAAACAATTAAGCAGCAAAGGAATGAAAAAGAAACTCACTGTATAGAATAGTATCGACTGGAAAAAAAAAAGTCAACTGCTACTAAAAAGATTAAATAACCCAGCTGGATTCAAAAGGAAAAAGAAAGGATACTTGGGCGTTTCAGTAGCTCTAGTAAGGGGCTTGAGAATCAAAGATCACTGTGATCAGCTAAATAAACACCAATGATGAAGACAATGATGACAATAATCACTATTACTATTCATTATCATTAATACCAATAATAGTTATCACTTATTTCACATTTTCTCTGCACCAAAAACAAGGTTAACTACTTTATATGAATTACCATTTATACTCACAACAACCCAGAAAAAAAGGTATTATATTTTTTCCTGTTTTAGAGAAGAAGAAAACCAAGACTCAGGAAGGTTAAATAACATTATCAGGGTGACACAACTAAAAATTAACAAGGCCAAGGTATGAATTAAGCTCTGCATGATTCCAAAGCCCACACTCTTAAGGCTGGTATGGTCTGAAGAATATATTACACTTAGAGTGACAGCCTGCTGACTTGCCATTTAAACGCCAGTAAAAAAAAAAACCCGTCACTGTTGAGTCGATTCCGACTCATAGTGATCCTATAGGACACAGCAGAACTGCCCTATAGGGTTTCCAAGGAGTGGCTGGTAGTTTCGAACTGCTGATCTTTTGGTTAGCAGCCTGAGCTCTTAATCACTGGGCCACCAGGGCTCCATTAAACTTCAGTGGTCTTGCCTTTCTAGTACAACACGCCCGAGAAACTGGGACTAAGATAAACTTGGCAAATGTAGTAGAAAGTACTGTCTGTCCACCAAAATCCTTTTTTCACCTTAGTAAAAGGAATGCAGTGGGGCACATGGAGAAACCACATTTTTCAGCCTCCTAACTCTTAGGTGTTGCTAAGTTCTTGCCAAGAGAATGTAAATGGCAATGCTATGTGCCATTTCTAAACTGGTGCATTTAGAAGAGTAGGTGTGCATTCTCTGTGCTCTTCCCATTCCACCAGGCAGGTGCAGATTACAATAAGGATCAAAGAGACGGCAGAGCCACAACATGAAAGGAACCTAGACTTACCAAATGGAAATGAGCCATTACATGGTAGGTTTATGTTTAGGGCAGTTTAAGTTACCTTAGTCATATATGCCTTCAGTACTGCCACAGTTAGAAATAAAGAACAGGTAAATAGCAGAAGCTGCAGAGGAAGAAAAGTTGCAAAAGCAAACTCACCAACATCATGACCAGCAACAGCAGAGAAGTGACAAAAAGGTAAGAAGAAAAAAATTCAAAGCTTATTGTAGTTTTCAGTTACTTTACTTACGGCATAAAACAGTAAAACCTTAGGTAAAATAGCCCAGGAATGAATTTCAAAAAATTTAGTGAAAAGGGAAAAACAAATCATTCTTAAAAAGATCTGTATTGTAGAATGGTACACTACTTCAAGCACCTACAGAAGCATGAGTCTAAAATCATATTTAAATATATTCTTTATCAAGCAGATAAGTAATTGATGAACTTTAGAAAAGAGTATCTCCAAAACAACTTACATGAATATCTAGGGAATCTATGAAACTTACAAAAGTATAAGCAAGATTTCATACACATGGACATTTTTTCTAAGAAGACAATCACTACATTTTCAAAGCGGTCTAAGCCTCAAAGATTTATAAAGTATTGTTATAATTTAAATATCATTTACTTCCAAAAAAAAAAGTGAAGTAACTTATCAAATAAAAACAACACATAAAACTAGACAGCTAAAATAAATGTTTAAATCAAAATCTACTTAGAAAAGAAAAAAAAATATATATATATATACTCCATAAAGTTAAAATGCAAATGTGTGGCATTCAATGAGTTAAGTCTGTTGCCTAAAAAGTTTACTTATCCTTCCCTAAGAATGCTGAATAAATGTGGTATTGCCATACATTTTGCTTGGACGATAAAGAAGGTGGAAAGAACATGGACTTGGAAATCAGAAAGATCTGAATTCAAATTCCAGCTCAATTTATTAACTATATGAACTCAAGTGAGTTCCCCAATCTCTTGGCACCTCATAGTTTCTTTCTTGATAAAATAGAGATAATAGAAGATTAAATGAGATCATGTACGTAAAGGCTTATCTAAGATTCCTGGTACATAATAAGGATGTAATACATAGTACTTATTAGTCCTGTATAAATTATACTACATAAGATAAATTTATTTCAAGTCCTTAAAATTAATGAAAGAGAAATTTATTTTAACAGGTATTTCCTAATTCCAGGTAATGATACTGTACCATATTTAAAACTTAAGCCAGATATTTTACCAAAGTGTTTCCATTTGTGAATCTATGTCAGTTGAATTCTAAAATCTCAAGAATATTTCTCTTAATCCTCAGTATTCTATCTGTAAGGATTGATATTTCATGACTTTTAGCCTTATTTTTAGAGGTATTCCAAAGATCTTATTAAAAATTTATTTTTTAAAAATAGGAAAAAAACTCATTCGATCTTAAAATTACCGTATGGGTCTACTAGACTCTTTAACAAATCTGAAATACATTACAGGATCTTAGTGTTCTCATTTTTTTGTACTTGGCTGCTAACCAAAAGGTCGGCAGTTCAAATTCACCAGCTGTTCCTCGGAAACCCTATGGGGCGGTTCTACTCTGTCCTGAAGGGTCGCTATGAGTTGAAATTGACTCAACAGCAATGAGTTTGGTTTTGGTTTGGTACGATTTTGCTATTTCATCTTCCTAAGAATTACCTTTTCATTATCAATTATTTCCAATTATGCTAAAAGCAGACTAAAATAATAATAAGAAAACAGAAGAATGATGAACTTGTCTAGAACAGTAGTTCTCAAATGGGGGAGATTTTGTGCCCAAGAGGACTTTTAGCAATGTACGGAGACGTTTTTCATTGCCACAGCTTAGGGCGTTACTGGAGCCCCAGTGGCACAGTGGTTAAGAGCTCAGCTGCTAACCAAAAGATTGGTAGTTCAAATCCACCAGCCACTCCTTGGAAACCCTATGGGGTAGTTCTACTCTGTCTTATAGGGCTGCTCTGAGTCGGAATCAACTAGATGGCAACGAGTTTTTTAGGGGGGTGCTACTGGCATCTAGAAGGTAGAAACCAGGCATGCTACTAACCATCCTACAGTCAGGACAGTCCCCCACAACAAAGAATAATCCAACACAAAATGTTAATTGCATCAAAGGTGAGAAAACCTGGCCTAGAAAAATGATACAACAGTGACATAAATCATCACTACTGCATCATCCTTCAGTTTTTTTATTGAGCTGTCTGAAGTATAGCATCATCTTTCAAAATGATCTAAAGACAATGTCATGGATTGAACTGAGTACCCAAAAAATATCTGTCAACTTGGCTAGGTCATGATTCCCAGTATTGTATTACTGTCTTACTATTTTATCATCTGACGTGATTTCCCTATGTGTTGTAAATGCTATCACTATGATGTAATAAGATGGATTAGCAGCAGTTATATTGATGAGGTCTATAAGATTAGGTAGCGTTTTAAGCCAATCTCTTTTGAGATATAAAAGACAGAAGCGAACAGAGAGACATGGGGATCTCATACCACCAAGAAAGCAGTGCCAGGAGCAAAGCGCATCCTTCGGACCTGGGGTCCCTGCTCAGAGAAGCTCCTAGTCCAGGGGAACATGGATGAGAAGGCTGAGAGAGAGAGAAAGCCTTCCCCTAGAGCTGACAACCTGAATTTGAACTTTTAGCCTACTTTACTGTGAGGAAATAAACTTCTCTTTGCTAAAGCCATTCATTTGTGGTATTTCTGTTATAGCAGCACTAGATGACTAAGACACCATCTTTATATCCATGTTTTAAGCATTTACTGAACTAATTGAGAATTTAGAATTTTTCATTTTATGCCAATAATGGCAAAAAAGAAGAAAATTGACAAGGAAAGACATTTCAGAATTATCAAATGAATCAGAAGATGAATGCAAAGATATAGCAGCACACTAGATTTTAATTTCGATAGTGAAATTGATTATGTAATTGAAAATCTCAGACTCTGAGTCTTCAGAGGACAATATTCTAGACAAATTTTCTGTAACTCAAGCACTGGTGACTGAACAATATATTTTTAAAAACAAAAAGGAATTCTGGTATTATCTAGTTGGTCATTCAACAGGAAGACTTAATCATGTAATCTTTTACGACAAGAACCTGGACATCCTGGTTTGCTAAAAGGATGTGCAACAGTATTCTTAAGTCTTTTACGAGGTTTAAACAACTAAATTTATTTGATATAGTTCATATGTAGACAGATGCTGAAGGTAGGTGTACAAACCAAAGTGACTGGAAGAAAAAGATGATGTAAAAATAATTTCTCAAACTACTCATTCTATTTAGTGTTTATAAATCTAAAAATAAACAAGTTTTGCAATTACGAAGCAAAAAAGATGACTGTCCTCTCTTCAATAAAATTACAAGCTATCAAAGTATATGAATGTACTGCATTTTGATGATGTAAGTATAAGAAGAACAAGAAGTAATACTAAACTGGAACTTATTAGAGATGTAGTTGAAATGTGGAATTATATTGTGTTTTGATTATGCAAGTACAAGAAGTAGCAGAAGTAATGATAAGCTAGACCCTATCAAAGATATATTTGAAATCTGAAATCAGTATTTACAATAAGAACATGTACCAGGTTCATGAACTACAGCTAATAAACAGTTAGTTGCATTCAGAAAAACACTGTCCATTTCAGGTATATATATCTCCCAAACCAGGAAAAGATGGACTAAAAACTGCAGTTTTCAAGGTTAAAATTCTTATTAAAATTTCTAATAAAGTTGTCTTTCATCATTCCTCTTATTCTTCTGTAAATTACTCACAAAATGACTTACAAGTATAAGAATATAAAAAAAGGTTCAATGAACCCAAATAGTAAATGGTGATGACTATCTTCCTAGTATACTGAGGTTTAATGAGGAATAACTCCAGAAGGTTGCTTACTTTATATCCCCTAGATAGCATCCATTCTTGAGATGGTCTCTAAATTCAGGAGAGCTTATGCAATGACATCAAGGACATCGTACATGAAGAAAGCAAAAGGTCATTAAAGGTTATTTGACAAAATTTGGAGGAATACACATACTTTTTTACTCAAGCTTATATAATCCACATATTCTTTGCCTGCCATTATCAGGGACTCTGGTTTGGGGATGTGAAAGAATACGTGGTTAGGAAATAAAAGCAGTGAATTGGAGTCAAGAGAAACTACATTCTAGCCACTATTATTTATTAGTTTGGTTAGAGCATTTTTCTTCTTTCTGGGTCTCAATTTTATCCTCTAGAGCAACGGTCGGCAAACTATGGGCCAAACCCAGCCTACCATTATTGCTTTTTTTTAATTGTGGTAAATTTGTCATTTTAACCATTTTTTAAGTGTAAATTCAGTGATGTTAATTACATTCACCATGTTGTGCTACCATCATCACTATCCATTTCCAAAAGTTTTATATCACCCAAACAGAAGCTCAGTGACCCTTCAGCAATAACTCTGAACTCTCTAGCCCCTGGTAACCACTAATAAACTTTTGTCTATTTGCCTATTCTAGATATTTCATATAAGTAGGATCGGATCATACAAATATTTGCCTTCTTTTGTCTGACTTATTTCACTCAGTATACTGTTTTCAAGGTTTATCCATGTTGTAGCATGTATCAGAACTTCATTTGTCTTTAAGGCTGAATTATATCTCAGGTATGGATACACTACACTTTGTTTATCAATTCATCTGTTGATGGACGCTTGGGTTGTTTTCACCTTTTGGCTTGTGTGAATAATAATGCAATGAATAATGGTGTACACATATTTGTCTGAGTCCCTGCTTTCAAGTCTTTTCGGTATATACCGAGAAGTGGAATTGCTGGGTCATATGGTAATTATAGGCTAACTTTTTGAGAAACTCCCAAACTGTTTTTCCACAGTGGCTGTAGCATTTTACATTCACACTAGCAATACACAAGGGTTTCAATTTCTCCACATCCTCATCAACACTTGTTACTTAATGTTTTTCTGACAATCATCCTACTGAGTGTGAACTGGTATCTCATTGTAGTTTTGACCACCACTTCTTTTTGTAAATAAAATTTTACTGGAACACAGCTACATTCATTCATTTATAGTTGTATACAGCTGGCTTTCTTACTACAATGGCAGAGTTAAGTAGTTGCAACTGAGCCCTTATGACCTGCAAAGCCTAAAATATTTACTATCTGGCCATTTACAGAAAGTTTGCTGGCCTCTGCTCTAAAACACAGAGCCCTGATGGTTAAGAGCTTGAGTGCTAACCAAAAGGTTGGCAGTTCGAATCTACCAACCACTCCATGGAAACCCTATGAGGCAGTTCTACTCTGTCCTATAGGGTTGCTATGAGTCAGAATCAACTGGATGGCATTGGGTTTGGTTTTTCTGGTTTGCTCTAAAACACATAAAAGTTGTAATATCTAAAACACCCTTACAGCTGTAACACTGTGACAAGAACAATATTTGTAACATTTCTTAACAAGAACAACATTAAAAAAAAATGGAAATATAATTAGAAAAATAAGTTGATACCTTAAAAGACTGTAAGATGCTGGTCCCTAGCTCTGTTTCAATTTTGCAATTATCACACTCAATTTTCTGGACTTTTACACAACCAGACCCTGATGACTTGATATTCAAATCTAGAAGTGAAAAAAGAAAAACAACTTACTATTACGGTTAATGAACTCCAAAGCATTTTAGTAACCCCTGGAAACCAAGTTCCTCTTTGCCTAGAAGTTATTCCACAACATTACTGAGTCCTGGAGATAACACAACTGTCAAAAGTGTCTCTATAAAGGGGTTTCCACAACAGAAATAGAACCATATTTAAGGGTTGCTTCCGACAGTTTTTAGAAATAAAGCAGTTATTTTTACCGGTTCATATCATTTAAATATGTATAAAAAGAGATAGCTCCCAACATCTTTTATTCACAATCTACTTTATTAACTTGCCAGGCTAATTTGTTACAAAAGATATCTTGTGATATTTTTGGTGTGCAGAGGAGAAAATAATATACGAGAAGTAAACGAAGGAAGATACTCCAATTCTTATATGTACTTCTGTATAAGATCATGGAAGCCTCTCTTCCACTGACAAAACACACACACACACTGACTCTAGTAAGAATACAACAAGTTAACAAGATACTATAATAAATCAGATAAGTTAGTGCATACAAGAGTAGCATGGAACAGTATATATGATCATGACTTAGGATTTCTAATCCTACTTCTAACTTTTCATACATAAAAAAATGATATTATCATGCACAATTATATCACAAAGGTATTTGAATTAAAAAAAGGAAGGAACTTTGAAACCTAATACTAAATAATACTAAAACCTTAAGATTCTGCGTAAATAACAATGGTATCTAAAGCAAGTATGGAAAATAAGGAAGGAGTCAAGGGTGCCATGCATGGCTATTAATTTAAGGCGTGCCCTTACATAACTCCCCACCCGTCTGTCAGTTTGCTGTACTGTGGTGGCTTGCGTGTTGCTATGATGCTGGAAGCCATGCCACTGGTATTTCAAATAACAGCAGGGTCACACATGGTAGGAAGGTTTCAGTGGAGCTTCCAGACTAAGACAGACTAGGAAGAAGGACCTGGCAGACTACTTGTGAAAAAACTGGCTAGTGAAAACACATTAAACACTAATGACAGAAGACCAGATGAGCTACTGAATGACAATCAACGACATCATAAATGAAAAAAGCAAACACTTATTAAAAAGACAGGAAGGGAAGAAAAAACAAAAATGAATATCAAAAGAGATTCTAAAATTTGATCTTGACCATAGAGTAGCTAAAGTGAATGGAAGAAATGATGAAGTAAAAAAAAGCTAAACAGAAGATTTCAAAGGGCGGCTCAAAAAGACAAAGTAAAGTATTATAATGAAATATACAAAGACCTGGAGTTAGAAAACCAAAAGAGAAGAACACGCTTGGCATTTCTCAAGCTGAAAGAACTGAAGAAAAAATTCAAGCCTCAAGTTGCAATACTGAAGGATTCTATGGGAAAATAATTGAACGACACAGGATGCATCAAAAGCAGATGGAAGGAATACACAGAGTCACTGTACCAAAAAGAACTGGTCGACATTCAGCCATTTCAGGAGGTAGCATATGATCAAGAACCAATGGTAATGAAGAAAGAAGTCTAAGGTGCACTGAAAGGAATGGCAAAAAACAAGGCTCCAGGAATTGACAGAATACCAACAGAGATGTTTCAACAAATGGATGAAGAGCTAGAGGCGCTAAGTTGTCTATGTCAAGAAATTTGGAAGACAGCTTCCTGGCCATACAACTGGAAGAGATCCATATTTGTGCCCATTCCAAAGAAAGGTGATCCAATTGAATGCGTAAGTTATCGAACAATACCATTAATATCACACACAAGTAAAAATTTTCTGAAGATTATTCAGAAGTGGTTGCAGCAGTACACTGATAGAGAACTGCCACAAGTTCAAGCCGGATTCAGAAGAGGATGTGGAGCAAGGGATATCACTGTTGATTTCAGGTGGATCTTGGCTGAAAGCAGAGAATACCAGAAAGATGTTTAGCTGTATTTTATTGACTATGCAAAGGCATTTGACTGTGCGGATCATAAAAAATTATGGATAACATTGTGAAGAATGGGAATTCCAGAACACTTAATTGTGCTCATGAAGAATCTGCACACAGACCAAGAGGCAGTCGTTTGAACAGAACAAGGGGGATACGTGCAGTTTAAAGTCAGGAAAGGTGTGTGTCAGCGATGTATTCCTTCATCATATTTATTCAATCTGTATGCTGAGCAAATAATCCGAGAAGCTGGACTACATGAAGAACACGGCTTTAAGATTGGTGGAATACCTGTGAACAACTTGTGATATGCAGATGACACATCTTGCTTGCTGAAGGGAAGAGCACTTGAAGCACTTACTGATGACGATCAAAGACTACAGCCTTCAGTATAGATTACATCTCAAAATAAAAAAAAAAAAATCCTCACAACTGCACCAATAAGCAACATCATGATAAATGGTGAAAATACTGAAGTTGTCAAGGATTTCACTTTACCTGGATCCATAATCAATGCCGATGGAAGCAGCAGTCGAGAAATCAAACGTTGCATTGCACTGGGCAAATCTGCTGCAAAAGACCTTTTTTAATGTGTTAAAAAGCAAAGGTGTCACTTTGAGGACTAAGGTGCACCTGACCCAAGCCACGATATTTTCAATTGCCTCATATGCATGAGAAGGTTGGACAACGAATAAGGAAGACTAAAGAACTGATGCCTTTGAATTATGGTGTTGGTGGAGAATACTGAATATACCATGGACTGCCAGAAGAATGAACAAATCTGTCTTGGAAGAAGTACAGCCAGAATGCTCCTT